AGCATTAGCAGTGTTAGCAGCATTAACAGCATTAACAGTGTTAGCAGCATTAACAGCATTAGCAGTGTTAGCAGCATTAACAACATTAGCAGTGTTAGCAGCATTAACAGCATTAGCAGTGTTAGCAGCATTAGCAGCATTAACAGCATTAGCAGTGTTAGCAGCATTAACAGCATTAGCAGTGTTAGCAGCATTAACAGCATTAGCAGTGTTAGCAGCATTAACAGCATTAGCAGTGTTAGCAGCATTAACAGCATTAGTAGTGTTAGCAGCATTAACAGCATTAGTGTTTGCGTTTGTTGCAGGATGATGATGTCATAACAAAAGCTGCACACCAACAGCAGACTGTGTTCCTTTCTGAATTGCTGAAAGGTAAACTTCAGCATTTAGTTGCAATGTTCAAGATTTAATTTTTATGTTTATATTTGGGTTTAATATTTAGAAAATACATTTAACATTTAGTCAAATTGAGCAAAATGTAAGAGTAGTGAGTTAAATAACAATAAAAAATGTTAACTAGGATTTTATCCTCAGAAAGTGAGATAAATAATGAAAATGTGACATTTTTTTAACCAGTTATTTTACACTACCGACACAGCAACTGTTTCTTTGAGGTTTATTTTCTGYTCTCACTTTCTGTCTGCCGTTCGTTAACTTCCCAGTCAGGGAGTGACAGACACAGGCGTGTGGTTTTGACTCCAGCTGGAGGTTTAAGAATCGAGTTTCAGCTCAGAAACGTGGAGCGTGTAAACATTTGGCACAAACTAATACAATTAATCTTGGTGTCAGAATTTAGTCTACATCAAAGGAGTTTGTTCCAGAGAATTACCAGTACCCATCTGAGTCGTTAGACCTGGACCTGATCCAGGGACAGCAGGTCTGGATGTCACCTACACCCATAAAGAAACGGGGGAATCTTTTCTTTTTTAACTGCTTCAAATCTCACCTGGTCTGACATGTTTTCATGTTTTAAACACACCAGGAATTGCACCGACAGGCTTGTTGATGTGTTYATGTTACTACAAAGTTTGGTGCGTGTTTCCATGACCACGGCGTTTTGAGGACTCGGTCCAGGTCTTTGTTTGCTGATCCGGGGAGTGCTTCTGTGTCAGCGTGCGAAATTACTCTGCTGTTTGTTCTCTCTTGAGATAGACACAAGGATGGGTATTTGTCCTGAAAGACACGGGATCAGTGACCTCTCAGTCACGCTGCCTTAATGAGAGTTAATGGTGTGTTTGCTGAAGTCTGGGAATATTCCATGTCATCGTTGGTGTTCCTTTAATGAGGGTGTGTTGCATTCTGAAGGTGTTGTAAGACAACAGACAAATAAGGGCGTTATAATGAAGCCYGTGACAAATAATAAGGGCAACTGATTTCTTCACTGCCTCTCAACTATTTGTTTAGTCATAGTAACTGAAGGAGAGGTCTGCAGTGAAAGTTGACAGGATTTAGAATTTTCAGYAAACAACACTCAAATATTGATGTAGTTTATAGATTCAATTAAACAGCTTTATGTAAACATCCATCTGTCCATCCATTATCTRTTCCCGCTTATTCCTTTCAGGGTCACAGGTGCCCATATCCAGCAGCCACAGTGCGAGGGGCGGGGTACACCCTGGACAGGTCTCAGTCCATCACAGCAGCTTCAGCATTTACATCTTTATGTAAACAGTTCAAACAAACTTCAACACTGATTGTTTTTATCAAAACCTGAAGGATTTTTTATTGTTRTTATTAACCAGTTTCAAAAATGACAAAGTCAACTGTTCCTTAAAGGAATGAATATCACCCTCCGCCTTTTACATCAGAGTTAAATTAAGATCATTTTAACAATAAGAGTCAAAACCTGGAAATAATTACTTTCACAACTGAATGCAGTGATGCTCAATAATTATTATAAAGAGGATGGTTGGATGGATGGATGGATGGATGGATGGATGTTGGTTGGTTGGTTGGTTGGTTGGTTGGTTGGATGGTTGGTTGGTTGGTTGGTTGGTTGGTTGGATGGTTGGATGGATGGATGGTTGGTTGTTTGGATGGATGGATGGATGGATGGATGGATGGATGGATGGTTGGTTGGTTGGTTGGTTGGTTGGTTGGTTGGATAGATGGATGGATGGTTGGTTGGATAGATGGATGGATGGTTGGATGGATGGATGGATTGATGATTGGTTGGATGGATGGATGGTTGGTTGGTTGGTTGGATGGTTGGTTGGTTGGATGGATGGATGGTTGGTTGTTTGGATGGATGGATGGATGGATGGATGGATGGTTGGATAGATGGATGGATGGTTGGTTGGATAGATGGATGGATAGTTGGTTGGATGGATGGATGG